CATGATAAGTACCCAGGATATTTTGTTCTGGGTACTCACAGTGATGATAATAAAGCAACACCAGAAAAGGTCCAAAAATATAATAAAGAGCTATTATCATTTACATCTGGGTCTAAAGCAGAAAAAGGCTATCAGATTATTCCTGCCATAATTGATTGTGAAATCATACACCCAGTCAATACAATGCTCAAATCTGGTCCTGACAGACAAGAAATATCGAAAAAGCTTTGTGATAAAATACTTATTGACAAGAATTCAAATGATATATTCCCTATGCCAGTTCGATGGTTTGCTTTTGAGCTGACTTTGCTAAAGAAAGCAGGAAATGGCAGCTGCCTCAAGACGCATGATGTCTTATCTATTGGTAGGAGCCTTGAAATGAAGAAAGAAGATACAGAGCAGGCTTTACTGTATCTGCACAATTCTACCATTATTCTTTATTATCCTGAAGTTTTACCTGACATAGTGTTTGTTGATCCTCATCCTATTCTAGATACTCTATCACGCCTATTAGCTCTCACTTACAAAATTGATGTAACTCTCCTTACAAAGAAAAGGGTAGATATAATAGATTCTGATAATCTGCATAAACTAAGGAAAAGAGGGACATTCACTGAATCACTGCTGGATATGTTAAATGGTGACAAGGGATTTTCTACGTCTGATTTTATCAGGCTATTGCTTCATCTACACATCATTGCCAAGACAGAAGATGATGATTATTTCATTCCTTCTGCATTGCCCTCTTATACTGGTACTCATCCAGGCTCAGATACCGTCAACCCATTACTAATAGTCTGGCAGAACTCTAATAAAGAAATTTTACCTGTTCCCCGTGGAATTTTTCCTTTGGCAGTTGTCAATTTAATGATAAAGATCAATAAGCTAAAAAAAGTAAAAAACCTGCAATTTTGTTTTCCTCTAGCAACAAATCAAGAATCTCAAAAATATTTCAGATATCAGGATGCTATGTCATTTTGCGTTGATGATGTGTTCAATGATATACAAGTTGGCACCATTCATTTCATTAAAAAACACAGGCACATTGAGATCCATTTCACAGGACACAAAGATGATGCTTTGAAATACTGTCCAGAGATTCGTGAAGCAGTAACAGAAGCTATTAATAGCAGTAGTGTTGCTATAAACTTAAAACTTTCTCATAAGCTTGCCTTTGCCTGCTGTTCTACAGAGAAATGTTATTGTATTGTCACAAATGAAGCTGAAGAAACAATTAAATGCACTTTATGCCCCAAACGAGCTATTATCAGTGGACAAGAGAAGTACTGGACTTGGTTTCATGTTACTCACCAGAGCTCAACTGAAGGTAATTTAAATATTTTTTCCTGTCTCTTCTTCCCTTTTGTCTCATTTTATTATTTCAGTCGAAGTTTTATTTGTACATTCATTTAGTAATGACCAACCCTTGTACTTTGGATATCACTCGTTTAAAAGATGTACGTTCATCTCTACAAGAAAGCAATTTTTTCGAGTCAAAGTGGCTTGATCTTAGTGATCAGTTAGGGTTACTTCCTGATACTTCGGATTTTATTGAAACCAATTATTCTGATGTCAGTAGACGTCTCAGGGAGACACTTATAAAATGGTTGGATGGAGCTGATGATGCTTCACCTTCATGGGGTTCACTAGTCAAAGCACTTGAAGCTATTGGACAAAAGAATGTTGCTGAACACATAAGTGAGTTGAGCTTGCATAATGTTAATAATCTATTACACTATATTTAGGATGCAAGTGGATTAAAAGAAAGCATACATGAAATTACCTGTTACCACAACTACATTTTTTTATTTGTTCTTTGACTTCTTTCCTAAAATACAGTTTTGGCTATGCATTTCAAATATGTATTAATAAATAAAAATTCAAATTTTGACACACAAAAATTAATTTTAAAATATTCCTGCGGCACTGCTTTTGTTGAAGGCGTGGCTCTGGTTTGCATATTTTGGGAGTGGCTCCTTTTTTGTCTATCATGGCACCCGGTTCGTACACTTTTCTGGTCACAATAGATAGGAAAAGTTCGGAACCCTCCCATCACACATGACTGTAAAAGTTCCGGTTATTAACTAGTTATGTATTAAATTTAACCCCTTCTTTATAAGAATGGCTGCTGGAAAGAAGACCTTTAGTACTGTATGCCATTGTGCATCGGAGCAAGCCACATGAAGGTTGCAATAAAGATGATGGTTTGTTTAAAACTTCAGTCCTCACCTCTGATGATTTCCTGCAGCGTAGCACCTGGTTTTTAAAAGAGGTAGCCCTACTGTATATTGTGTAAATATCATAGTCCTGAACTACATGTATGCTATATGCATCAGCAAAATATGTGCCACATCATGTTTTGTCATCATTCAGATGATATTTCAATTGTAGTGCATGATAAATGTATGTGTATAATTGCTAATGTGATGGTTATGAGCTAGCTGTAGCCTGCTGATGTTCATCTCATGATCCATGTAGTAATATATTTGAATGGAACTGGCCCTTAATATTTTGCATTTTCTAGTATAATTGAATGGTAATGAATGATGATGCAATACTTAATTTTACGTTTTTGTTCAAT